GACAGTTTTGCTGGATATAGGATACTTGGTTGACAGTTTTTTCTTTTAGCACTTTGAATATATCAGCCTTCTGGTCTCCATCATTTATAATGAGAAACTTGATGATTTTCATCTTATTGAGTATACCTTGTATGTGATTAGTTGTGTTCCTGTTGCTGCTTTCAAAAGTTTAATTATAATGCGTGTTGGTATGGGTTTCTGAGTTCATGTTACTAGGAGTTTGTTGAGCTTTGGGATTTTTATATTCATGTCTTTCATCAAATTTTGGACGTTTTCAGCTATTATTTCTTCAAATATTCTCCAAGCCTTTCTCTCTCTTCTCCGTTGGAACTCCCACAGTGTGTATTTTAGTCTGCATGATGGCTTCCCAGAGGTTTCTTAGGCTCTGTTCGCTTTTCTTCAATCTTTTTTCTCTCTGTTCCTCAGACTTAATAACTTCCATTATCCTCTTTTCAAGCTTGCTTATTCTTTCTTCAGCCTGCTCAAATCTGCCTTTGAACTCTGCTACTGAATTTTTCATTTTAGTTATTGTATTTTTCAGCTGCAGAATTTCTTCCTGGTTTCTTTTTAGGTTTTCTATCTCTTTATTGATATTTCCATGTTGTTCATAACTCATTCTCTTATCTTTCTCCATGTCTTCCGAGAATCTCTGAGATAGTTGTTTTAAAGTCTTTGTCTAGTAGATCTGTCATCAGTTCCTTTCTCATGGCCAGTTTCTATTGATTTATTTTTTCCTTTTAAATGAGCCAACTTTTCTGTTTCTTTGTATACCTTGTGATTTTTGTTGTTGTTATTAATAAAAACTGGACATTTGAATCTAATAATATAGTACTTCTAGAAGTAAAATTCTCCCCCTTGTCTAGAGTTTGCTGGTTTTTAACTTTTTAAATTTTCTTTTTTTAGCACAAGCTTATATCTTGACTTTATTTTTAAAAATTGATTTTATTTTTTAAAATTGTTGTAGACTATCTCTGTGACAAGGGTCAGCCTGGGGTGTAAACTTAAGGTCTTCTCAGGTCTTTTCTGAGCCTGAGCTTTCCCCTGAACATGCATGGTCACTTTCTAATTTTTCCAATATGTAGTTGCTTTTGGATGTCTCTGTCTTTAGTGTCTAGCTCTCAAAAGGGGAAAAAGAGAAAATGAAGGGGGAAGAAAAGGACACTGGCCCTTTAAATCTCCTGAAATTTCCTTTAGCCAGATGGGGAGGGGTTGCAAGGATGGGAGGAAGGGTGCAACAATGACCTACCTCTTTGTCTGCACCTCTTTGATCAGAAGCAGCAATAAGTAATTAGAGCACATTTCCCCATATTTGAAGGAAAAGGTCCTTTTAGTCCACCCTGGGGCCTGCAAGGTTTTGCAGAAACCCTTACATGGTTACTTGCCGTGGGGATGAAGATTGGACATGGGTAGCTGCTACAGTGCTGAGAGCTGAAGTGGATGGAAATTAATTGGACTTTACTGTCCAAGCCTTCCCCTGGAAGTTGAAATCCTTCAACAGACTCTAGAGTTCCAAAATAGTTGCATCAGACAAAAATTGCATTCTGCTAGTACAATTGTTGTCTAGGTGGAGAGACAGATTTATGGTGACACCCACTCCACCATCTTCCTCTAGTCTTTACTTTTAACTTGTATGTGTCTTTATATTTTAAATGGATTTTTTTTATAGACAGCATATAGTTGGATCTTGTTTTTTTAAAAATGCATTCTGACAATCTCTGCCTTTAATTGGAGTATTTAACCCATTTACACTTAATGTAATTCTTCATATAGTTGTTAACATCTATCATCTTGCTAATTTTTTCTGTCCTTTGTTCCTGACTTCTTTTGGATTGAGTATATTTTACCATTCCATTTTTTCTTCTCTATTGGTTGTTCCTGACTTCTTTTGGATTGAGTATATTTTACCATTCCATTTTTTCTTCTCTATTGGTATTTTAGATGTACCCCTTTTTTTTAAAGTTGGTTGCTCTAAAGGTTACAATATGAATTCTTAACTTAGCCCAGTTTAAACTGAACGAATATTATACCTCTCCATGTCTAATATAAGAAACTTACAATAGTATAATTCCATTAGCCTCTCCTTCACTTTGTTATAAAACTAACAATACATTGTTATTATTTTTACTTTGTATAGGCACCTGTCTTTTAAAAAAGAAATTAAGAAGAGAGAAAAATGTCTTCTATACATAGTTACCATTTCTGGTGCTCTTTGTTCCTTCCTGTAGACCCAAACTTCCATCTGATGTCATTTCCTTTCATCTTGAAGAACATCTTTAGCATTTTTTGTAGTCTGGGTCTCCTGGCAATGAATTTGGGCACCTTTCATTTAACAACGCTTGAAAATTTGATCCAATCCCACCTACCATTTCCACTGCATTACAGGATCCAAACAATCCTAACAATTTCCTGGGAATTGAATCACCCCATCCCCAAGACCCTGCAGTCCTATCCTGGAAGTCTGTAGGGGACTTGAGTCTGATGGTGGTCAAAGAGGCCCCTGAGAATGAGGAACATGCAGCTGTTGTCCACAGTGACCCAAAGCCCAGTCTTCCTTCCAGTGGTGCTCACACTGGGAGGAATAGTCCACCCAGACCTCTCACTTGGGGACGGAGCTGCTAGACTGTGGTATGGGCTGAGTGTTGTCTCTCAAAGGTCTAGGGTAGCCACTCTTCAGAGCCCTTTTCCAACCTGTTTACTGACTACAGGTAGCAGAGGGTGGTTTCCTGGTGGTTAGAGATGACCTGTTCTTCTTACCCATCTTCCCTGCACTAGCAACAGACTAACTAATGGCAGGCACACTCCTGCCTCCCCAGGGAGGCAGGGAAAGTTCCATGGGATTTTACGTCAGCTTTTTTAGAGAGAACCTGGCTCTCTGCTCCCATGACTGTAATGCCAAGGATGCATCCCCAAGGGTCATGTCCACTTTAGTGTCTGCTGTCAGGCACTCAGCTTCAGACTTCTTTGACTTGTTTGGGTTTTTTGTTTTGTTTTGTTTTCCTTCACAAGCCTTTATGCTGCCTCCCTATCACTACAAAGTGGCCACCACACAGGCCAAGCTTGCTATTTGCTGCAAACAAATCTGGACTGGACGGTCTCTCTTCTGCCATGCAGGTAGCCAGACTGACTGTCCCCTTCTACCTGGGAGCCCATGGGCATGTCCTCTAATCCCTAATCCTTTGAAGCCTCTGTTTCTTCATCTGTAAACAAGCCTGTTATGAGGATGAAATGAGATTAATTTTGTGCAGTCTTTAGCACAGAGCCTGGCACCTGGTGAGTGACCCATGTTAGGTATTGTGGTCACAGCCCTGCTTTCAAACACCTTCCCCAGCTCCCATCCTAGCCTCAATTTATTTGCCAAAGCATTTGGCCCCTGTATGTTGCTGGGTATTCAGGAATGTAACCTCATGTTTGCAGAATGCCACTGGCTTTCACACTTGGTCTCCCAGGAAGGGATGCCAAGCCTCAGACACTAGCTCATGGATCCCAGGGACTTGCCATTACACTTTGTCATTTTTCAGGACCAATGGCTTATGACTGGTTTCACAGTCTTTCTTGTCCTCACTGTGGCCTGCTGCAGCCCAGTTCTGGGGCTTCTGTGGCAGAAGATAGGAGAGGGCTGAGGTCAGGTCACAGAGATGTAGTGAATGAAACTTTGCTCCCAAGGAGCATATACAGTTGGGTGGGGAAGAAGACCCAGCAGCAACTACGATGGTGCTATCAATTTAAGGAAAGATTTCTGGATGCTCCTATGCTCCAGGACCACATGAGAGCCAGAATTGGACACTGGGATCAGCTGGGAGTCAACCTGATATTGATGATGCTTGGCTAGACTATAGATGGACAAATGGGAGGTGGCAAGACTGAGAGAAAGGCATCTCAGGAACAGGGAAGAGCATTTAAGAAGGCTTGAAACAGCCTGATACATGCTGGGAACTCCAAATAATTCCACTCTTGAGTTGAGCAAGGGTTAAAAACCTTCAGCTCGCAAGCCATCCCAGCCCTTGGTCTCTTCTCTGCATTCCATCCTCAGTAATATTGCCAGATTTATCTTTCTAAAACATAAATTTGGCTCCCCTGATTTTAAAATCGATTGGCTCCCTATGACCTATAGGACCAAGAACAAACTCCCTCCCTGGACGTTCAAAGCCCTTCACAATCTTGCCCCAACCTATGCCCACCCCTCCTCCCTACCCGCTGACCCTTCATTACAGCCACTTTGATGATTTCCTGTTCTCCCAGCAGGCCATTCACAGCCTCTTACCCAGGTTGCTCCCTCCCTCTGCCCCCCGTGTTCTTCTCCCCTTCTTGGCTGGGCAAACTCTCCCCATCTTCTAAGACTCAAATCAGGGGACATCTTCACGAGAAGCCCCTTCCGGGCAGAAGTTCGCGGTTGTACTCCAGCGCCCAGAATCCAGCCCATCATTTTTGTTGAGTAATCAGTTAACTAATCTTATCAAGGACCTCTTCCCTGAATACCCAAGACAGATGCCCCCTTCTGTGCTTCCCGCACGGTTCGTCCACACTTTGTTGGAACTTCTTGGAGGCAGTCGGCATTTCCCATGCGCATTGCTTTTTGCTCCACGTCTAACTCTGTACCTGGCACACAGGAGGTGCTCTGCACGAGTTTGCTGAATGAATGAATGAGTGCACATGCCATTTCCCTTTACGTAGCCTGTGGACTAGCCAGGCTTGGGCCTGATGGCACGGGCTCTACCTTCGGCCCGCGTCTACGGCGGCCGGCGCGTCTGCTGACCCCAGCGAGCGCGGACGCGGGCGCCACCCTCAGCCACGTCCCGGCCCGGGCCGCGGGGCCGAAGGCTGCACCGGGCGTGGCCCCGCCCACAACCGCGGTTGGAGGGCGCAGACAACGCCCACCTGCAAGGGCCGCCGTGGATTGGTGCGGCCGCCGCCATCCGGGCCAGAAAGGCCCCGCCAGGTGGCCGGTGAAGACGGACGGCGCGGCCGGGCGGTGGTGAGTGCGCGGCGGTCGCCGGGCGGGGACGGGCGGGGACGGGAGCGGAGGACGCCGAGGGCTGCGCGCGGCCGGGCGCAGTGGCCCGAGCTCGGGGCCGGCCCACCCGGGGGACCCCGCGGGCCAAGGAGGTGTCAGTCCTCTCTTGTCTTCTAGACCCCGAGGACTGAGGCTCCGGGACGACGAGGAACCGCCCAACATGGCATCGGAGGTGAGTGGGACCTCGGCGACGCCGGTCCTCCGAGGCTCCAAGCGAGGGGGGAGGGGCGCCCTGGGCGCCAGCCGAGGCGGTGACCTGCGCACGGGATCTCGCCGTGGGGTCGCCCCCCTGGTAATTGTCCTGGCGGGCTCCCGGAGGCCCGCACCGCCAGGCGCACCTGCTAGAGCCGGCAGAGATCTTTATCCGGATTCACAGGTGTCCCCAGGCGGCTCGTGTGGCAAACCCGCCAGCCCACACGACTGGGGAAGGGTAGCCCTGACCTGACCTGACAGTGCCTCCTGCCTGGCCCGGACAGGTGCTGCCTACTCCTTCAGGCCCTCACCTCTTCCTTCCTTCTTGCACGTGTCCTCCTGTCAGTCCCCACTCTGCACCACATCCCTTCTCCCGCTGCAGCAGCTGTCCCTGTGTATAGAAAAAGGCTCAGGCCCCAAAGAATCCTTGTCCTCCACGCTGGCATGTGGAGTCCGGAGGTGGGGACATCTGCCTGTGATCCAGTGGCCCCAGTACATGGTCCCTTCCAGTCTCACTGGCCTCTGCTCCTTAGGGCCAGGGACTCCTGGCTTCTCTTCCTGACCACTGAGTGGCAGAGGTCCAAGACACAGGTTCCCTTCCTTGGGAAGGGATGTATCTAGCAAATGAGGATGTATCTAGCAAATGAGGATGTATCTAGCAAATGAGGATGTATCTAGCAAATGGGGATAATAATATCTGTCTGCCTCCCTCTGTAAGGTACTGGACCATGAGGTCATTGCTTTGAACCCTTCAGGTAAAAGGGGCTACTTGCTTCATGCTAATGAAGGGGACCCTGGGCCTGGGAAGCAGGAGGTCTGGGTTCTAGTCCTTTCTGGCCCTCGGAAGCTGGCAAGTTACTTCCTCTCAGTTCCTCTGAATAACCGGGATGAGAATGCCTCCCTGCTAGCTTCTGGGTCATGGTGGAGGACTGGGGGCAGAGCTGGACTTTGGAGCCAAACAGACTTGGTTTCTGTACCAAAGTCACTTGAGCTCTGTGAATCTCTTTCCTCACTTGTAAAATAAGGATAACAGTGCCACCCCACAGTAGGGTGTGATAGCATGTGTAGAACCCCTAGCACAGGGCCGAGCAGTAGTAGGTGCTCAGTAAAGGGTGGCTAACATAACAATACTGTATTTCCCTGGTACTTTCTAGCTTGGCTGTTGCTCATTCAACCCAGCCCAACTCAGTGCCTCTGCCCACTTGCCGGAAGGGATCATTCTGGCCCAGATGTGCCCTGGCTTGGAGTGGTGCCTTCTCCTTCCACATTTACCTCCCCCTCACCTCAGTGCCTGAGTAGAGGCACCTCACTGTGACCTCCCTCTGGGGTCTTTTTATGCCTGCCAGTAGGGTAGGAGCTTGGTCCCAGAGCAGAGTGGTCTGCTTTCAGGTGGATCAGTGCTGCAGGTGACCTCAGCTTGCCCCTGGCCATCCTGTAGGTTGGTGCTAATTGGTTTGGCTACAGCCCCGCTTGTTAAGCAGTTGTTATTATTACTAACAACCCACGCAGGGAGGCCCAGGAGCCTTCTGGGGGTTGGGAGCAGGTTGGCTCCTGCTTCTGACTGGCCGGCATTGGCCCTCTGGCCCCAGGGGTCAGGACCAGGGCCCTGCGTGGTGCTTCTCTGGAGATGTAGGCTTGGCCGGGCAGCTGAGAGGTAAGGGGCCAGCCCAGCTCAAAAGGCTGAGGGAGGGTGGAGGCTGCCTCTGCAGGGCAGAGTCCTTTGGCAACAGAGGCTGTTGGACACTGAGGGGTCAGCTCACAGTCCAGGACCAGAGCACCATGGAGGACCCTGTGGTGCACACGGGAACCAGGAGCGGAGCTAAAATACACTCTCAGCCAGCAGCCCTCAGCCCTCCCCTTAGTAACAACTGGCATTTCCTGAATCCTTACTGGGCTCCGGGCACTGTGCTATGTCTGCACTTCACAAATGTTTCTAATTGGACGCTCATAACAGGCTTATTATAATAGATAGGTACTATTATTATCCCAGTTTTATAGAGAAAAAGTTTAGAGAGGTTTAGAGGTTTAGAGAGGTTTTTTTTTGTTTGTTTGTTTATTTTAAGACAGAGTCTCTCTTTGTCACCCTGGCTACAGTGCAGTGGCATGATCATAGCTCACAGCAGCCTCAAACTCTGGGCTAAAGCCATCCTCCTGCCTCAGCCTCTGGAGTAGCTAGGGCTATAGGCATGTGCCACCATGCCCAGCTAATTTTTTAAATTTTTAGTAGAGTTGGGGTCTCACTCTTGCTCAGGCTGGTCTCAAACTCCTGACATCAAGCTATCCTCCCACCTTGGCCTCCTAGAGTGCTAGGATCACAGGCGTGAGCCACTACATGCAGCCTAGAGAGGTTATTTAATCTGGGGATTAACAGAGGTCTGGAGGATTGCAGGCGGACAGAGGAGGACGTATGCCTTGAGTGGCCATCGTACTCTCCCCACCACAGAAAGGGCGCCAGTGAAGTAACATGCCCACCTCCACACCAGCACTCTCCACCGAGTCCTTGTCACTCTGGGCATTAGGGTTGATGCCCAGGTGTTCTGCACCATCTCCCATCTGTCCCCATGCCCTGGCCTATGCCCTCTTTCAAAACACAGATGCCTCTGTCCCATCCCTCTGCCCCTGGCTTCTGGGGGGCGAGGGCACAGCCAGTGGCCTCCTAGAAGGCCAGTTGTCACTAGGGTGTCAGAGGTGCTCTCCAGAGCCAAAGGGATGGAGTCCCCGCTCCAGGGTGTAGGGGAGACAGATGCAGGTGGCTCGAGCTTGATGGGCCCTCAAGTGCCTCTTTGCCTGTTTCTGCAGGGAAAGTTCAGGACACCAGAGCCAAGCCCAGAGGCTCTGGTGGAACAAGGTGTTGAGAGCATGGACTCTGACTTCCGACTGCTGGGCGGCAGCCCTGCTCTCCCACCCCCAGAGAGAGCAAGCTACATGCCTCTCTGTGCCTCAGTTTCCCCCCTGCATGGCGGGCTAGTATTGGTGCCTACTCAGAGGGTTGCTGTCAGCACATGCTCAGCAGTCAGAACGGCACCTGGCACACAGCGAGACTGCGGCATATGTTAGCCAGCATCATCATCATTATCATTGGCACAGCAGAACTGGATTCAAACTCTGCGTTCCGGGGCAGCTTCTCAGTTTGATCAGTGGCAGGAAAGGTCCCAGGGGTGTTTGTACCCTGCCCCCACCTCCGTGGAGTCGTGCCACATGGTGGGAAAAAATCCTAACTTCAATGTCCAGCCACATTCCCACACTCACTCCCGGGGTGCCCCTGAGCAGGTTCCTGACCCTCTGAGACTCAGTTTCCTTGTCTGTCCAGTTAGAATAATCCTGCTCAGTGGTCTCCACTGCCATCAACCTTCCTGAGGGCCCTTTGCGAGAGGCACCGTTCTGGGGGGTGGAGAGGAGACTAACTGCTGCTGCTCTCCCGGCAGAGTGGGAAGCTGTGGGGTGGCCGGTTTGTGGGTGCAGTGGACCCCATCATGGAGAAGTTCAACGCGTCTATCGCCTACGACCGGCACCTGTGGGAGGTGGACGTGCAGGGCAGCAAGGCCTACAGCAGGGGCCTGGAGAAGGCGGGGCTCCTCACCAAGGCCGAGATGGACCAGATACTCCAAGGCCTGGACAAGGTACTCGCCACGTCCCAGGCCCCACCTGAGGCCCCCTTCCTGTGGCCCCAGGATCCCACCAAATCCTGAACAAAGGTCGCAGTGTCCCAGGCCTGTGGTTTCACGTTGTAGTCATTGTAGACTTCCAAAGGTGCCGTTTAACCACGTGCTGTGATGGCTATGCTATCTCTTCATTTTTTTTTTTCTTGTTTTGAGACAAGGTCAGCTCTGTTGCCCAGGCTGGAGTGCAGTGGTGAAATCATAGCTCACTGCAGCCTCAAACTCCCAGACTCAAGCTATCCTCCTGCCTCAGCCCCAAGAAGCTGGGACTATAGGCGTGCGCCACGATGTCCTGCTAATTTTTAAATTTTTTTGTGAGATGGGGTCTCACTATGTTGGTCAGACTGGTCTCGAACTCCTGGCCTTAAGTGATCCTCCTGCCTCAGCCTCGCCCTTCATCCTTTAGTGACCCCTGTGGTCCCCATGGCACATGGGCGAAGGTGCGCTGGGCCTGAGATGCTCACGCAATGGTGGGGACCGTGCCAGCCCTTTCCCCAGGTGCACTCCCAGGACTCAGCTCCCGTGTGGGGACAGTCAGTTGTCAGGGAGAGCATAGGACCAAGGCAAGGGCCCTCAAGGCTGCCAATGCCTGCCCACCTGACCTTAGGGTTGCTGCCATCTGCTCTAGGTGGCTGAAGAGTGGGCCCAGGGCACCTTCAAACTAAACCCCAGCGATGAGGACATCCACACAGCCAACGAGAGACGCCTGAAGGTATGCACCTCCCCCCAGCTGCCTTCTGCCTTCCTGGCCTTCCCTCTCCACCTTGCCCTGGGTACTTCGAGCATAAGCGTCATCATTCTGTCCCCTTCATCACTGGTAGATAGCAGGCAAGACCTCAGAATAGGAGGCCTCCACAGAGATGGAGAGAGCCTGGGCAGGACCTGTGGTGGGGAAGGTGGGTGACAGGGCTGGTGAGGAACTGCCCTGCCTGGGTTGGCCCCTCGGGCCATGGGTGTGCAGTCCCTGACCCGTCCTCCTCGCACCCCCAGGAGCTCATCGGTGAAACTGCAGGGAAGCTGCACACAGGACGCAGTCGGAATGACCAGGTGCTGCCAACTCCCCTGCTCCCTGCTCTGCACCTTCCCAGCCTGGCACCCCCTCTGACTGCCGCCTCCTCCCCGCCACAGGTGGTCACAGACCTCAGGCTGTGGATGCGGCAGACGTGCTCCACTCTCTCGGCCCTCCTCTGGGAGCTCATCAGAACCATGGTGGATCGGGCAGAGGCGTGAGTCCCCTCTGGACACCCAGGGGCAGAGAGGGGCCTGAGGGTAGCCAGAGTGTCCTGTCCCCCGAGGCAGGTGGCCTGAACCCCACACCCAGGTGGCAGGGGTGAACAGGGTCAGGGAGCCAGGCCCTGGGTGACAGGGGGTGGCTCCAGGCAGACAGCCAGGAGTGGGCATTTCCTAGCTCAGCAGGCGGGGAAACCTCAGCCTTTGAGGATTCGAGGGCAGGAGGCTGAGGCACCAAGCAATGCCCGGAGGCCAGAGGAAATGGGCTGGCTGTGCCTGGAGCAGCCAGAGTCACCCCTCAGCCTGCACTTGCCATCCCCGCCCAGCCTCATTCCAGCTTGGCTTCCATGACCTGATGTCTTTGGGGCTGGCTCTGCTCCTTGCAGACCTGGCCAAGGAGCTGCTGAGAAGTCCCTAGGTGATGTCAGAGACAGGCTGACCCCTCCTCACCGCCAACTCCCCGCGACCCCCATTTCACAGACCCCAGCCATCTGGGGGGAACAAGGACACAAGAATCATCACCCTGGGAGGCGGGGTGAGGCCTGCTAGGAGGAATAGGGAGCAGCTGCTAGAGTTTGGAGTTTCTCTATGGGGTGATAAAAATGTGCTAAAATTGATTGTGGTGATGGTTGTACACTAAAGTGTACACTTTGGGTAAATTGTATTGTGAATTAGATCTCAGTAAGGCTGTTTATTTAAAAAAAAAAAAAACAAAACAACAACAACCAAAACAACCCTGCCTCTGCCCCGCCTACTTTAATGTGCCCCAGGAAGATCCAGGGTCCTCAGGAGCTTCTCGTGTGTTCATGCGCGCAGCCTCCCACTACCAGGTGGTGCCTGCCGTGGGCCTCCTTCCCTGTTCTGGGCCCTGCTTAGAGCTGCCTAGTGACGGAGGCCCAGGCTCAGGGTGTAACCCTCACTTGGTCCTGGCAAAGCCTCCCCTGGGAGGCCCCACAGCCCCGGGCTGGTTATTGGATCACAGCTGCCCCCTTCTGGCCTCTTTTCTCTTTAGGCTTGTTTGTCCCCAGGAGATGGCTCCCTCATGCAGGCAGAGCCTTGCGGGCCTGCCCTGCTCTTCCCTGGAGTGGCCCAGGCCTGCAGTGTCCCAGGTGTCCCAGGCAGGCCTTGCCTGAGCCTCCCGCTAAGCCCCTGCCTGACCCTAGCCCTTCAGGCCTCCTGCCACTTCCCTTCCCCCACAGGGAACGTGACGTCCTCTTCCCAGGGTACACACACCTGCAGAGGGCACAGCCCATCCGCTGGAGCCACTGGATCCTCAGGTGAGCAGGGTGCGGTGCCAGGGCCCTGTGATGGGTCCGTGATGGGGGGAGGACCCCCCCGGGCTGCCCTGACCCTCCTGCCCCTGGCGTCCCACAGCCATGCTGTAGCACTGACCCGAGACTCCGAGAGGCTGCTGGAGGTGCAGAAGCGGATCAACGTCCTGCCCCTGGGGAGGTGAGTGAGACCCCAGTGCCTGAGGGCCTGGCGGGGGTGGGGGTTGCTGCTACCTAGTCAGCATGGCCCTTTGGGGACTGACAGAAGACAAGCTGGGAAGGACAGAGCACGACAGAAAGTCGGTAGTCAGCCAGGAGGAGGACCCTGCAGGGACCCCCAGCACTACGATGGGGACAACCAAGCTTGCAAATGTGCGTGAGCAGGGCCAGAGCTCTCCAGAGAGGCTCCCAGAGAGCCCAGCACCCTGCCCACAGCCTGCCATTTCCCTTCGTGGGGACAAGTGTTCTGGCACCAGAGGTGACTGGGCCAGGGAAGTGGCTGAGCTCCAGGCCATAGCCCTGGTAACCAGGGCTTGGCTGTGTGTGTGTGTGTGCGTGTGTGTGACAGGGCTCCCTGCCTGCCCGGACCCCTCTCACTGTGAACCCCCGTCCCTGCAGCGGGGCCATTGCGGGCAATCCTCTGGGTGTGGACCGGGAGCTGCTCCGAGCAGGTAAGGCTCCGTGCCCCTCGTCCCTGGGGAGAGTCACCCTCAGCACCCGCCAGGTCTCGCAGACACACAGGAGGCAGAGGGCAGGGGCTCCTAGGTGGAACCTTCATTTATTGCCTCTGGGCCCTGAGGTTATCGAGGCAAGGGCTTGCCTGTGGCAGGGGCTCCTTCCTCCCTCCTGGGACCTGTGCAAGAGACCCCCCACCTCCCGCCCTCCCTGATCCTCTTCCCTGAGAGGGGCTCAGTGGGGAGGTGGCTGAGCAGTCTGTGTGGGGTAGGGGCAGCCACTCCTTGCCCTCCAGCCCAGCCCCGCTTCCTTCCCCACCCCCAGAACTGAACTTTGGGGCCATCACGCTTAATAGCATGGATGCCACCAGTGAGCGAGACTTTGTGGGTGAGTCTTGGGGCCCAGTCCCTGCATGGTGCCCCACCTTTGTCCCCCAGCCCGGCTTCTCTCCAGGCTCCTCCCACCCCATCTGGTCAGGCTGGATGGGGGGCAAGCAAGGCTCGGTGCCCGAGAGCCTGCCCTCCCTCCCAAGCCGAGTTCCTGTTCTGGGCTTCGCTGTGCATGACCCACCTCAGCAGGATGGCTGAGGACCTCATCCTCTATGGCACCAAGGAGTTTGGCTTTGTGCAGCTCTCAGATGCCTACAGGTAAGGCCCGAGCTGCCACCCGCCCTGCCCCACCCCCCGGCACAGCCTCCTCTCTCCCCAGCCCAGCCCTTGCTCAGACCTGGACAATGTGCTGCTGGGCCTGCCCTGCCCCCGCCAGCTGACCAGCCGAGGGGCAGGCGGGCCCCTTCAGTCCCAGCATCTCTGCCCCCAGCACCGGAAGCAGCCTGATGCCCCAGAAGAAAAACCCAGACAGCCTGGAGCTGATCCGGAGCAAGGCGGGGCGTGTATTTGGGCGGGTGAGCAGGGCAGAGAGGGGCTAGGCCTCTGGGCTGACCCAGCAGGTCCTGAGGGGACTCCCAGGACAGGCTCCAGGGTCCCAGCTCCTGAGTGTCCCTCTCCTGCAGTGCGCCGGGCTCCTGATGACCCTGAAGGGACTCCCAAGCACCTACAACAAGGACCTGCAGGTGCGAGGCTGGGGTGGTGGGTGAGGGCCCCACTGCCTGCAACCACATGCCAGTTCTTAGCCCAGGCAGGACCCCGCCCCCCCCGAATTGCCACCTCTCATCCTGTGCACACAGCTCCATGGCCACCCTCGGAGCCCTCTGCCCTTGCTTAGTTGGGATGCTGAGTGTTCCTAGTAGAAGGCAGTGGGGATGCCTCGGAGGGGAGAGGGCTCTGGGGACAGGTGCCGGGGGTGGGGGGGCTACTGGGTCCTCACTTCCTGTCATGTGTCCCCAGGAAGACAAGGAAGCTGTGTTTGAAGTGTCAGACACCATGAGTGCTGTCCTCCAGGTGGCTACTGGCGTCATCTCTACACTGCAGGCAAGACACACCCTCCCCACCCACCTGCCTCTTCCCACCTAGGCCCTAGAACCAGGGATGGGCCTGCCAGGGGGGTGATCTTGGGGTGAGGCAGGGTAGGGCTGGAAGGCCCAGGGTAAGACAAGGGTATGTGCTTGTTCCTGCTCCTGGGGAAGCGCATGGAAGTGCATTAGACTTGAGGGGCCCAGGTCCGGTCAAGTGGCCAGGCCAAATTTCTTTTTTACTCATTTATTACGGGAAACTTCAGCATACAACAGAGAATATGCAATGAAGCCTCTGTACTGACCCCCAGCTTCAATAACAACCCCTCGTGGCCATTCTTGCTGCGGCTGTCTTTACCCACTGCCCTCCCCTCCCCATCCCCATTTGGAAGCAAATTCCCATTATCACATTGTTTCATTCCTAAATAGCTCAGGATGTGTCTCTAAAGCACTGGTTCTCAAAGCGTGGTCCCCAGCCTAGCGGCATTAGCATCACCTGAGAACTTCTGAGAAATGCAATCCTAGGCCCCCCACTCCAGACTACAGAGTCAGAGACTCTGGTGGTGGCCCCAGCAATTTGGATTTTAATAAATCCTCAGGTAATTCTGATGCATGCTAAAGATAGGGACTCTTGGAAAACACGAAGGCAACACCATTAGAAAACCTAAAAATTATCAATAATTATGATTAGCCAGGTGTGGTGTGCACCTGTAGTCCCAGCTACTTGGGAGGCTGAGGCAGGAGGATGGCTTGAGCCCGTAAGTTTGAGGCTGCAGTGAGCTATGATGACACCACTGCACTCCAGCCCAGGTGACTGAGTGAGACCCTGTCTCTTAAAAAAGAAAATTATGGGATGATTTAAGCAGAGAGCAGGGCAAAGCCAGGTAGGCAAGAGAGGATCTGCCCAAGACAGGGGACCTCCTGGCAGAGGAGGCAGGCCCTGGGCCTCAGGCTGGCAGCTTTAGGCCCCAGGGTCCCCAGGACTCATCACTCCCCTGGCCGGTGCCCCCAGATTCACCGTGAGAACATGGCACAGGCTCTCAGCCCTGACATGCTGGCCACTGACCTCGCCTACTACCTGGTTCGCAAAGGGGTAAGTGTGAGGCAGTCAGGTGGGGGGGCAAGGGAACGGGATGTCTCCCAGGGGCTGGGGGAGGTCAGATGGGGCGAGGGTACCTGGGGCAGACCAGAGAGCAGAGGAAGCCTGCGTCAGCACTGTGCTCCACCCCAGATGCCGTTCCGCCAGGCCCACGAGGCCTCCGGGAAAGCCGTGTTCATGGCCGAGACCAAGGGGGTCGCCCTCAACCAGTTGTCGCTGCAGGAGCTGCAGACCATCAGGTGCGGCCCCTCCCTTCCCTCAGCTCTCTCCCGGGAGGGGGGCCAGGGTACCTGGAGGCTGGGTGGCCTGCCGCCCTGGCCCATCACCTCCTTTTCCTCCAGCCCCCTGTTCTCGGGCGACGTGAGCTGCGTGTGGGACTACGGGCACAGCGTGGAGCAGTACGGTGCTCTGGGGGGCACGGCGCGCTCCAGCATCGACTGGCAGATCGGCCAGGTGCGAGCGCTGTTGCGGGCACAGCAGGCCTAGACTCCTCCCCACGCCTGCTCTCAAATAAAGCGGACCTAAGAGGAGGCTGCCGCACGTTTCCTCCCCGCCTGTCTCCCTCACTGGTGGGCTTTTGGAGGTCTGTTGAGCTGGCCAGTGGGGGCCATCAGGGAGGGAGGTGGAGAAACTAGACAAGGATGGTGAGAGTCACAGATGGGGAAGGGAGGAGGGGGCCTCCCATCAGAGCCCCTGCCCTGTCCAGGCCCCACCCCCTTGAAACGGTGTCACAGGGACCTCCTGCCTTGGGTGTCCTTGGCAGGACTGGAGGGACCTCATGGCAGAGCTAGCCCAGCTGGGCGCTGTCCATCCCCCTTCCTTCCCGGTGTCCCCTGGGCTCCCCCGGCTCTCATCTTCCCCTTGCTTAGCCCATCCTCCCTTTGCTTGCTTACACATTACAGGGTGTCCCCTGGGCTGAGGCCTGTGCCAGGGCTGCCAAAGTAACCTACCTGTGCCCTTGTAAGGGGCATGGTGCATTTGGTGGTAAAGTCAGTCTTCCAGCTGGCGTGTGATGCCAGGCACTAGTTCATACAAAGGTGGAGACGATGCCTCCTCCACCCTAGAGAGTGACATGCAGATAAATTCCCTTGCACTGACCATGAGGCAAAGGTGACAGAGTTGTGGGGCCTGGAGGGGGCCTGTCCTGTGCAGTGGTCAAGGGAGGGACTGTCCCACCAAGTCTGCAGAGGGCCCTGAGGCCAGGCCTGGCACAAGGTAGGTGTTCAGTAGGGCCCACGGAGACACAGAGACCTTTTCTACACAAATCTGATAAGAAAGGGCTGCAATTTATATTGTATTCACAACAAAGATAAGCTAAACCCCAGGAAGAATGGATAACTCATCCCAAGTGATTCTGGGGACAATGAAAAGATTTTATAAACTAAAGAGTTAAAACTTTAATAGTGGATGCCAAATTCTAAAAAGAGTCAAAGCTATGGTCTACAGAATCTTCCAGAGCTGTAGTTCTCAAAATGTGCTTCCTGACCACCATCGTCATCATCCCCTGGGGATTTGCTAGAAACACAAACTTTCAGCCCCACGCCCCAGACCTACTAAATCAGATGTGCGGTGGGGCCCGGCGATCCGTTCTAACAAGTCCCACAGGTGACTCTGACATGTGCTCAGTGAGAACCCCTGGGCTCCAGAACCTCGGGAGATGAGAGACGAACCTGCTACAGACCAGCAACACGAGCCTCGCCTGGGCCCAACGGACCTGATTCGGAGCCTGCAGTTCAACACGCTCCCCAGGTGCCCCGTGTGCGTTAGCGTGACAAGCGCTGACCCACAGAAGGCGTAAAATCTAGTCTCAGAGTGAAGGAGGGGCTTGTGTCCATCCAACAGCTGGTAGTGTTAAAATAATACCTGTAATCTATGCGGCACCACGGGGACTGGAATAGAGCGAATGAGAAGGTTGCTGTGGTGACTCTTCTGCTGCCTCCATTGACGGGACACACCCCATCTGGGTGGGAAATGTTTTTAGCCGATCCCGTTAAAAGTTCCTCCCTAATCCAGCTTGAATCAGCCCCCATTCAGGAGCCTGGCCATGCGGCCTGACCTCGCCAGAGGGAATGAGGCTCTCCCAGCTTGGGGAGAGCCTGAGCTTGCGCAGCCTTTCTCCAGGCTCTCCCCCCCCACCCCCCGGGCTCGACACTCCCCACATCTGCCTGGCCTGTTCCCTACCAAGTGGCTTACTCTTTTCCTCTTCTCTACAATTTGTTTTTTAACTTCACCTATTTACACCAAGGCTCAGTGTGACCTTGTATTGGTTTCATTTGGCTGCTGTCACAAATTATCACAAACTTAATGGCTTAAAACAACATAAATGTATTATAATCCTGTAGATCAGAAGTCTGAAATGAATTTTACTGAGATGAACTCAAATGTCAGCAGGGCCAGGCTTCCTCCAGAGGCTCTAGAGGAGAATCTGTTTCCTTGCCTCTTGCAGAGGCCACCTGCATTCCTTGTCTTGTGCCCCTTCTTCCATCATCAAGACGGGCAGCGTAGCATCGTTAAATCTCTCTCTTCTTCTGTCATCACTCTCCAGATCGGGCCCCTCTGCCTCCCTCTTATAAGGACCCTGTGGTTCCTTTGGATCCACCCAGATAAATTATCTCCGCCTCTCAGATCTTTAACTTAACCATATCTACAAAGGTCCCTTTCCTATGTAAGGTAACATATTAATAGGTTCTGGGGATTATGACATGGACGTCTCGAGGGAATCATTATTCAGCCTGCCACAGTCTGCTGTCTGACTCTCAAAGATTCATGTCCGTCTCGCATGCAAAATACGTTTATCCCATCCCAAAATTCCTAAATCTCAGCCACCATGGCATCAACTTAGTCCAAAATTAATGTATATCTCATCAGCTCAAAAGTCCCATATCTCATCTAAATTATCTAAATTATATATTGGTGAGACTCTAGGTATGATCCATCCTGGGACAAAATTCCTCTCTTTCCACGAGACTGTGAAACTCATATGACTTTAGTGAGGATTAAATAAGTCCATATATATAAACTCGAGAACAAGTTATCTGCTCCCAACATACAATGCTGAGATGGGCATAGGATAGCAGTTATAGACACCCCACTTCAAAGAGGAAGAAAATGGGAGGAAAAGAGGAGTCACTGGTCCCAAGCAATTTCAAAATCCAACCCAGAAAACCATCACATTTCAAGGCCTGGGAACAATCCCTGGCTCTAAGCTCTACCCTCTGGGCCTGCACCACCCCCCTCAGAATCATCAGCCCTCTCTCTTGAAGCCTAGAATGTGTCTGCCACTGAGTGACTACTTGTCAGCCTGTTTCCTGCCTGTAGAATGTTGAGAGCTTTGAGGGACTTCTTTAATTTCCTCCTCTCTGTTTCTTTCAGTCCATGCTGGCAGCGTTTTTGCTGATATAACATCCTCAAGAACTTTGTGAGTTTCCTGTGAGTGTCATAAGTGTTCATTTCATTAGACAAGAGGCTCCTCCATAGATCTTCCCTGACTAATCCCATCTCTGTTCCTGGATTCTGCAGAGATACCTAACGAGATCCATGAGGCACAGGCCTAGTCCTCTCAAAGAGCCCTCTGTGCGATGAACACTCTGACTTTTTGATCCTGTCAAGGCACTAGCAAGAGATTGGCCACAATCTGGGCTTTCTAACACATGATTTCCTAACAGTGAGTCTCCTAGTTTTAGCATCTTTTGTTATACAGATAGACTGAGAATTTCCCAAATCATCAAGTCCTGGTTATTTCTTGTTTAACAGTTCTTTCCTCAATTTGTCTATTTCTTTTTGCATTTTATACTCTTGGCTTCAAGGGATGCTGAGAAAGTAAGTGCCTGACAAAAGGGAATGAGGGTGTCTTACTGGCTATTTTATTAAACTTTAATTATTCCTTGGAGATTGGGGCAAGACCCACTGCACTGAGAAAACCATTTTCAAACCATAGCACTCCCCAAACTAACATTTTCAACTTTTCTCCCACCCTCCTGACTTGGCATCACTGAGAACTAAAACTGAATTTTTTCCAAAGCCCTGCAAGCGGGAGCTAAACAACTTCACATTGACGTCAGAGAAATCAGTGCAACAGATTATGTGTGGGAAACCTTTGTGCCCTCTTCTATGTGAGCCACTCAGAAAGTTAACTGAACACCCAATACCATCATCAAACATTCAAACTGCAAATCAGTAAATTCATCAGGTTGTCACTGCCATCCTCACTCTACCACTAAAGATGCTTGGAGCCCAACATCTAGAAATATTCCTAACTGGCTGTATTCTGGACTGAGAAACTGGGTTTCCAACTATTTATCTTTGTTTTCCTTTTATTTTCATAGAAATTCCCCTCATTAAATGCCTGGTGGCTCACATCCAAGTCCCAACAGATGGTTCAGCTGGTCCTTAATGAAGAACAGGTGACCAGATGAGAGATTGGGCTCATATTGTTCAAAGGAAAGAAGAATGTCTCTCCTCTCCTTGAACAAGAGGAGGGATTGACCAAACTCTAGTAAGGCTCCTTGGAGTACGTTTTCATCTAGGCCCCATCCTTGGGCATATCCTCCAGAACCCAAGTTCTTGAGAATCCTGCTAAGTCTTTTATCCAGAATCTCCCACTCTCAATATCTAATCACCCTTGATATCTGAACAAATTCGTCATTCCCCAGCATCTCCTGAGTGATGTTTGATCACCTGGCCTGCATTCAACAAGAGTCTCTGTTAGGTTGGTTTAGCCACAATTTCCCCTTCCCTTTGATGTAATTTTCCTCATAGTAATTTTCCATCTGCTAACTGCCCTCCTATCGTGTTCCTTGGCTATAAGTTCCCATTTTCCATTGTAGCCAGAGTTGAGCCCAGTCTCTCCTCCCAACTGCAAAACCCCATTGCAGCAGTCCCCGTATGAATCATGATAGTCCTTGTATAAAGGTCTGACTTGCCATTTTAATAAGTGTCATGAGTAATTTTTTCTTTAACATAATTAAAATAAGAAATGAGACTGGTGATACTAACATTGACCTTACAGAGGTAAAAAGGATTGTAAGAGAATACTGTGAACAATTGTGTATCAACAAATAAAATAACCTAGAAGATGTGGACAAATCCCTTGAAACACACAAATTACCTCAACTGACACAAGAAGAAATAGAAGATCTCAACAGTTCTATAACAAGAGATCGAATAAGTAATCAAAAACCTTTCAACAAAGAAAAGTCCTAGGCCAGATGGCTTCACAGATGAATTCTACCAAACATTTAAAGAATTAACACCATTCCTTCTCAAACTCTTCCAAAAAATTGAAGAGAAGGGAGTACTTCATAACTCATTCTCTGAGACCAGCATTACCCTGATACCAAAGTCAGATAATGACATCGTGAGAAAAGAGAATACCAGATGAATATCCCTTATGAATATAGATGGAAAAATCCTCAACAAAATATTAGCGAATTGAATCCAACAGCATATTAAATGGCTAATTCATTATGCCCAAGTGGGATTTATCCCAGGAATGCAAGGGTGGTTCAACATTAGAATAGCAGTCAATGTGATATCTCACATAAATAGAACAATGGAAACAAAACCACATGATCATCTCAATTGATGTAGAAGAGATATTTGACAAAATCCAACGCCCTTTCATGATAAAAATTCTCAGAAAAGTAGGAATAAAGGGAAAGTTCCTCAATATGTTAAAGGATATTTATGAAAAACCCACACCTAACACCTACCAGTCGTACTGAAAGACTGAAGCTTTTTCCATAAGATCAGGAAAGAGACAAGAATGCCCATGTTCACTTCTGCTATTTGATATCCTACTAGAAGTTCTACCCAGAGCAATTAGGTAAGAAAAAAGAAATAAAAGACATCCAAATTAGAAGAGATAAAACTATCTTTATTCATGGATGACAAAATTTTTATTTAGAAAATCCTGAAGAATCCAACTGAAGGCTATTAGAATGGTATTCTGTTACAACAGCCCTAAGAAAGTAATACAGTCGCATTCTGAAGTTCTAGGTGGACATCAATTTTGGGGGACACTATTCAACCCACCACATGGGCTTTCAGATTCCTTTACTGATGTTTATTCTTCCCTTTCTAATAAGGAGACCATCCTCCCAGACAAATGAGATGGCTGCAGGCAGCTGCTCACTGTGTTCTTGTTCTAAGAACTTAAAAACCTCTTAAAACAACTAAAAATCTCTTTTTATCATTTAGCAACACACATTTTTCTGTCTTCCCCTCTTATCCCTTGCTATAAGTCAGGTCTCCATTTGGCACTGAACCTTTGTTTCTGCCTCCCCATCTACTCCAGCTCAGCCAGAACAATTCCTTTTCTTTTTCCTCTAGACCACTTGAGACCGTCCAGGTAGAATTTAGTTCGAGGTCTCCAGAGCTGTTCCCCTCCTTAGAACATTTACGTTAACGCCCAGAGGTGGCATGGCAACAGCTGCCCACTTCTGGGCTGTGTCCTAGAGTTGTATGATTCCTGCCCAAGAGTTGAAAGAAAGGATTGTCGTTTTTGCTGAGGAAAGGGACAATTGGTGGGAGTAGGGACTTGGCTGACCTTCCCTAAAGGTGAGATTAGGAGGAGTGAGCCAGTTTGATGAATTCCCGCCTGAGGATCGGGACCCAAACAGGGCTTCCATGTGCTGCCTTATCAGATGCCTGTTTTGTGGCTGGACTACATACCCAACCCCTCGACAGACCCTGAGGCTCCCCTAGGCAGGCTGGACAGGTGGCCTGGCCTGCTGGCAATTGCCTCATCTTCAGCCTTTGCTCTGATAGCTGCTCCCTCCTCCAGTCAATGGGACATTTATCTCTTTTCTCCACCCTTTCCCCTCTGAACGTCACCTCTGGGGTGTCCTCATGCATCCTTCCTACTGGCGAGGCAGCTCTGCGGTCTGGAAACGGGGAGGGGAGGCCCCAATGCAGCTCCCAGCCCCTTGCACTTCAAGGGTGGGCTCAGACCGAAAGGCAGGCAGGGCCTGGCAATCAAAGCCCAGGACCATGAGAAATTTGATAAAAGTTCTAAACATCCTAATCCCCTGGATTGTTATTTTTCCTCCTTTTCATTTTTTTTCCTTCCTAAAGCGAACTCTTAAAAAAATCCTCTGGGCTTTTCTTCAGGGAAGGGAGGAAAAAATTGTAACTTTTAGATTTGCTGTAATGTTTTACTCATTTTGAAAAATATATATAAAATCACAGGGCTAAAAACGTTGTTTCTGATGAATTCTGGTATAAAGCAGAATTACAATGTAAACATTTAATTTTAAAATATTAAGAGGCAAACAATCACATTTTATATGATTCCGTTTATATGAATGTTATGAATGAATTCGTCTCTATGAATATTATTCCAATAAGAAATATATATTTGGTGTCTGCCTGCTTCCTGGCACACAGCTCCTGAAACCCTTGGACTCTCCACAGTGATATATATCTTTTTGTATGCTAGTGAGAGGACAGATGCCTGAG